CGGGCTCGCCCGGCCCCTCGGCGCGGCCCCCCGCCCCCTCGCCGCCGCTGCCAACCCGGAAGGAGCCGGGGAAGGGGGGGCGGACGCCTCCGCCAGGAGGCCTGCCAGGTGCCCACCTGAGCCCTGAGCCCGGGCCTGCGGAGCCCTTTTGGGGGCGAGTGCCAGCTCCGAGATGCCCTCCCACGGGTTATAGACTGGGAAACTGAGGCCCGGGCCACGGTCCCAGTCGCAGCCAGCTCCCGAACCTGCCGCACCTGAGCTAATGATGACGGAGACTCATCCCTTCTCGGCATCTTTGCGGGATCCCGCCATCCAACAAAGGTGTCCTGAGCACAGTGCGCGATGTGTACTGGGCGTCTCACCGCCGCTTCACATCCTGCCTCAGTTTGATAATCAAACCTCTCTGCCAGGGTGGCACATTATCCGCATTTTACAGACGAGAAAACTGAGGCCCAGGCACTCACAGTCTCCCTGGGAGGAGAAGACCTGGGCTCTCCCCATAAATGCGGTGTCCACTCTTATTCCCATTTTCCAGGTGCAGAAACAGGCACCGAGAGGAGATATTGACCCACTGTCCTCTGGCAGTGGTTGGGAGAGCCATGGTTTGAACCCAGATCTCCTGACTTCAGAGGGTGTCAGCTCTTAAACATAACTAGAAGTGTAGACAACGCTTTGGTCTGGGCTTCAGTTTCACTATCTGTAACAAGGTACGGTTTGGTGTTGGGTGGAGTGTCTTCACCTAGGGACATGAGTGGACTTCTGGGGGGAGGGAGTCCATCCTCCAAAGGTGTGTGCAAGTGTAGTGTGGGGTGTGCATGTCTGTGCCAAGTGTATGTGGTGCGGGTATATGATGAGTATGTGTGCAGGCATGTGTATTTGTATGCACGTATGTGCTGTGTCTGTGACAGGAGTGTGTGTTTATGGGGAGGGACCAGAACTCTTATCAGAGGGGCCCAGGCCCTCCACCTCCCAGGACAGTCTCTGCCCCGTCCCCTTCTGCCTGGATTGATGTGCAGCAGGCAGTCCCGGCCTGTTCCTGCTGTGGCTTGTCCAGATCTGGGATCCCTGCTAAAAACACTCCTTAGGATCTGCCAGCCACATCTCTGGTTACTGGGAACTGTCTCTCCTGGATTCCTCAAGGGCCAGCAGCTTAGGTCTTAGATCTGAGTCAGGATAGGGAAGCTGTCACCTGTGTGCCCATATAGTGAAAGCTGCTCCTCTGAGGGGCAAGTATTGAGAACCAAGTTCAAACCCTGCCTCGGCTGCTTCTGCTCAGGTTAGCTCAGGCACACCCTGCCCCTTTTTGGTCCTCAGTGTCTCTTTTTATTTAATTTATTTATTCAGATACAGGGTCTTGCTTTATTGCCCAGGCTGATCTTGAACTCCTGGCCTTAAGTGATCCTCCCACTTCGGCCTCCCAAAGTGCTAGGACTGCAAGTGCGGGCCATGCCCCTTGCCCCCAGCCATTCAGTTTATCTCTCTCTCTCTCTCTCTCTCTCTCTCTTTGAGTTGGAATCTCACTCTGTAGCCCAGACCGGAGCGCAGTGCATGCTCATGGCCACTGCAGTCTCGACCTGCTGGACTCAGAAGATCCTTCCACCTCAGTCTTCCAAGTAGCTGGAACGACAGGCATATACAACACCCAGCTCATTTTTTGATTTATTGTAGAGACTAGGTCTCACCATGTTGCCCAGGCTGGTCTTGAACCCCTGAGTTCAGGCAGTCCTCCCGCCTCTGCTTCCCAAAGTGCTGAGATTACAGGCATGAACCACCATACCTGGCTCAATTTCTCTTTTGTAAGGAGGACAATTGCACATTCTTTACAGGGATATGGACAAGGTTGAGATCTGATAATGCCCTGGCACTGGCTGCCCTCTGTTTCACACAATCCCCAAGGGCTTCCCTCTTCCTCTGGCAACATCACCGTGATGTCAACTTTTCCCCCTTGGGCAACTGCCTCCCTCCCTTTCACATCAGATTCTGGGGTGTCCACTGAGCCATCTCTGACCCTCTGTGCCTCTCTGGTTAGTCCTTGCTTTTGACACAGCTAATCAGCGACTTAACCCCCTGGATAATCCATCACTCCCAAGGGGCCATGCCATAAGAGGATCCCAGGCCTGTCTGAGGCCCTGAGAAGCGTTGGGCATTGGCTTTCATTCTGGGGTGTGTCTGGGAGAGACCGAGAGGTGTCTAGGACCCCGGATTGGTGCCACAGAGTGAGTAGGCGCTGCTGGGTCTGTTTGCAACATGTTTGAGATGCGCCTGTGACTAATGGCATCCACATTCTTTAACTAATGCCACTAAATTTGTGGGAAATTCATGACACTGCAGAATTTCCCTAGTAAGGGACCTTCTTGGTAACAGTTATTATCCAGCAAGGCCTTGTCTCTACAAAAAAAATTTAAAAATTAACTAGGTGTAATGGTGTGGTCCTAGTCCCAACTGCTTGGGAGGCTGAGGCAGGAGGATCACCTAAGTCCAGGAGGTCGAGGCTGCAGTAAACCATGAGGATGTCACTGCACTCCAGCCTGGGCAACAGATTGAGATGCTGACTGAAAGATAAAGCTGTTATCAACATTTTCACATCAGAGAGAGGCCTGTCCTTGTTGATACTGGAAGGCCCTAGTCCAGGATATTTATGTATAACTACATGCAGACTCTGTGGCGGTGCAGGCTGGTGGTTACTGCCCCACAAGCCGGGTATCCTGTAGGCCTGGTTGTCAATTCCAGAGCAACCACTGGAGCTGTGTGACCTGGGACAAGTCCCTTCCTCGCTCTTGGTCTCATTTCCTTGTCTGAAAAAAACAAGCCATAAGATCTTTTCAAGATCTCCCTGGTTCAAGAGTCTGAGCTTCTGGGAAAGTGTGGAAACTTCGGTTCTCCCTGTGGTGGCCCTGGGGCACAGCGGAAGCCCCTTTTAAGGACTCGCTTTCCTAGTGGATGTCAGCCTGCTTTCTGGTCCTCTTTCCGAGCTGAGCGGAAAAGCAGGAAATACCGCAGGGGCCTGGCTTTTGGTCATTTGAGGTTTCAGTGTTTGCTGAGACCAGGAGGAGAAGCGCCGGGGGCTGGAGGTCTAGGGGCCTGTCCCTGCAGGCGGGGCCTCCCTCCTGGGGGCCTGGTCCTCTGGCTGCCAAGACCAGACCACAACCACCAGTAAAGACAGCAGCTTCCGTTCTGAGCGCTGACCGTGTGCCAGGCGCTGTGCTAAGCATTTTGCTAGTATTGTCTCCCGCCATCCTCCCGCCACCCGGGAGGTAGCCTTATGATCCCCAGGTGTGGGGCTCGAGGCCAGTGCGTGACCAGTGCCTGCCTGCATCCTTACCCTCAGACCATGCGGCCACACTCTGGTGGAGCCCTGCAAGGGGCCTCTTTGGGATAAGAGAGAACCTGGCTCAGATCTGGGCTCCCATCTGGGGGCTGCTGAGGCCAGAGAGGACACATGGACACACACCCAGACCTGGACCCACACACATGTGGACCACACAAGGACACACACAGGCACCCACCCAGAGCAGACCATGGGGTCAGGGAGACACAGTCTGTCTGGTGCGGTTTCACTGACACGTCTACCCTGGCCTAGTCCAAACAGGAAATGCTTTTTCCTCATAACAAACAAACCTGGGCTGCAGCCTCCTTCCCTGTGACCTCCTTCATGGCCCCAGCTGAGGGCTGCTTTCCTCCCGCTGCATCCCATGGGACTGCCTCCCCAGCTCCGGGTGTCCATAATTCCAGCCCTGTTCACACGGCCACTTGTGTGAACCCAGGCTCCCTGACTCATCAATGCCCACGTCGTGGCCATTCTGTTGGGGAGAAAGCAGCCCGAGGAGGCCAAGGGGCTCCCAGAATCCATGGCAGTAGCCCGGGTGGCCTGGGCAGCGCCTGGATGCCAAGAAGGGGAATAGGCCCTGTGAGGCAGCAGCCTTCAAAGCGTGTCCAGGTTAGGGAACAATGGCTACTCTCCGCACCTTTGATTGGGGGTTTGGCCCCTGCTCCTCACTCTCAGAGCAGGGGACGCCCCATAGGGCCAGCACTGGGGCACTGGGAGACCCGGAGAGCCTGCAGCTGCCCAGCTGAGTTATTTATGCTCCATAAGCTGCCCTTCCCACCCAGCTCATTCCTTCCTCATGGAGCTGGGACTAGGACTGGAAGGGAGTGATGGGAGGAAGGGAGCTGTCAGAAAATCATAAATTTGGTCTGGGAGAGAGCCCTCCTGCCCTCCTCAGGAATCCTCAGGAGTGGAGTCCTGCACCCTTGTGGGGGCAGGAAGGGGACAGCAGAATGACAGGGCCAGGCACAAGCAAGCATAGCAGGACAGGGCACCTGCATTTGGAATCAGGAGACCTGGGTATTCTAGAGGGAGCCCCTTCTCTCAGGGCCTCAGTTCCCCCATCTGGACAATGGGGGCAATGTTAGGACTTGGGGACTTCCCTGTGATTGTGCTTTGCTGACCATGAAGGGATGGACACACGAGAGGCTTTCTCCTTGGCAATGTTTGTTCCCACTTCCTTCCCTTGGTAATTTCCCCTGAATCCACCCCTTCCTGCCCACCCCACCCTGTCCCACCTGCCCTCTCTGGAGTTCCTTACTCTTCCTCTCTTTCCACATGTCTCATCTTGCAAAAATGGACTAATGAAGTCTGATTATGCAGCAACCACCTAACCAGGGAACAGAGGGAGGAGCGGTTGTCTCATTCGCACTAAAGTGAGTGACTGATATGTTTAATGTTGGAAGGAGAGGGAGTGAACGGGGATTCCTCTCATTTAAACCCTAAATTGCTAATGGTGGCTAGGCTGGTAAGGGAAATGTTTGGTGACCAGGGGCCCAGGAACCTGGTCTGCAGAGTGTGAGGACCTGCCGCGTGAGTAGGTGTCCATCTCCCAACACCACCCGATGAAGTGCAGCCCACTCCCTGCTGGGTGCCTCTGGAGTGGCAGCCATGAGTCCTCATGGTTAGACGGATCCGGCAGGAGGGAAAGGCAGGCAGGAAGAGCCACTCTGAGACTCTGGAGCTGCCACCAGCCCTGCCAGTCCCAGGTGACACCTGCTTGGTCGTGAACATAGGGGCCCGCCCCACCTGACATCCCCAAGTGAATGGTTTTCACCTCTGTGAGGAGGTCCTGAGAGGCAGGAGGAGAACGAGAGTGGGGTGGGGGGAGAGAAAGAGTCAGAGAGAGACAGAGAGATAGAGAGAGAGACATTCAGAAAGGAAGAGAGAGCCAGGTAGCCAGAGATAGAGGGAGATGAAGTGGCCCAGAGAGATAAAGGGACAAATGGAAAGACAGATACAGAAAGA